GGCAATAATAATATTATAATCATAAGAAAAACAAAAAACAAACAAACAAACAAAAACAAAAACAAAAACAAACTGGCATGCATTTATGACGGTCGCAGTGTCCTGGGGGGGGGGGGGGTCACCTGATCCCCTTTTGCGACCTTCTGACCAGCAAAGTCAATAGAGAAGCCAGATTCACTTAACCGTGTTACTAACTTAACAACTTCAGTGATTTGCTTAACAACTCTGGCAAGAAAGGTTGTAAAATGAGGCAAAATTCACTTAACAACTGTCTTGCTTAGCAACAGAAATTTTGGGCTCAATTGTGGTTATAAGTCAAGGACTACCTGTAGTACATGAATTTTATTTATGCTGAGCAGCAAATGAGAAATGCACCCACACTGAAGAAGGAGAAGGAGAAGGGAAGAAAGAAATACCTGTACGTGTCATACTGATCGAGAGCCTCCAACAGAGAAGGGATCTGGTACTCTATCACTTCCTGACACAAAAGGGACCATTCCCTGTCATGGGGTTAAAAAGCAAATCTTGTCAAATCAACTGGACTGAGATTCCCCATTAACCTTTGATAATTTTTTTTAAAAGGAAAAAAAATCATGATGATGATGATTTTACCACTGACACATAGTTCATCTTCACAGAGAACATGTCGAAGTTCCACCTTCCCATCCTGGAAGGCCACTTGATTCTCTGAGAGGGTCTAAACAAAGCCCTGGCAGGGACTGACCAGGGAGAAGGACAGTGGGACTCACCACCTTTTGAATCTAAGGCTCCCCAGCTCACAGACCCAACTAGCATGGAAGCCATGCTAGTCCTGGAGATGGCCGAGGTTCATAACTACACACTGTGCAATTCTATGTTTATTATTTTTATTTATTAAATTTGTTTGCCACACATCTCACCACAAGGCAACTCTGGACTGCTTACATTAAAATAAAACCATAAATAGATGAATATACAAAAGCATATGAAAATTACAATAAAATATAAGTTATAACTAAAGATGGAGAGGAAGGGAGCAGAATATGTGTGTGGGGAGAGGGGGGAGCTGCTGTCAGTCAATCAACTACCCCCAGCATGAAATTCCCCCATTGGGGCCAATTGACATAGCCATGTTTACATTCTGAAGATTAAAGGAACTGGGCAAATATACTCCCCCCACCCGACTGCCTCAGTTCTCTTTGTTTGGGTTTTCTGCTCCCTAGTTTCCAGCCAGGCAAATGAAGGTGAACCAAAATCTACTTAATAAACTGTACCCTCAATTGAGCTGTAAAATGAAAGCGATCCATTTGTCAAGATTTCTGTCACCATTTCCTTTCAATAAAAGACAACTGTGCATGTCCCAAAGGTGCTTTTTCAAGAAGCAACGACTTTCTTATGTTTCTTTGAAGACATTATGCTTCTGTTTGAAACATCTTCAAAGAAAAACCAGAAAGTCCAGTTGCCTCTTGAAAAAGCACCTTTGGGACAGCCAGGACCCAGATGACTGAGAATCTCCCTAGACATAACTAAGCATGGTATAGAGAACAAAACAATAGCTGAAAATAGGAAATTAAATCAATTGTAACCTCATAATATAATAAGCCCAAAAGCCCATGATTTGTTATAATCATATTACTTTGTAAACATCCCAACTGGTTTAGGTGATACCTTCCTGAGCAGAAAGATATCAATTTCAGAGAAGTGGAGCTGGGAGGAAAAGCCCTGGACCTGGTGAGGCTCTCCTGACTTGTGGCAGAACCAAATGATCCCGGTTCGGTCAGGCACTGGGGTGGGGGTGGGGGGAGAGGCTCTTCTGCCCTCCGCTTGCCCTGCTCCCTTTCTCAAATCCACAGCTGATGGGAGCCGTGGCACGACAAAACCGCGGTCCACTAAAGCGCGCCCGATTAAAGCGCGTACCTGACGTCATCAGCAGCGCAACAAATA